GAGGGCGGGAGGGAGGGAAGGCATGATATGATCAGGAAGAGGACTCCCAGCTGTGCAAGCGCCCAAACGTTCCTCAACCAGGCACTTCTCTTGACTTTATTTGTCCCAAATACCATACATTCCATGCCAACAGCACTCACGTACCTGCATGAGCTGGGTCGCCGCAGTCAATCCCGCGTTGGCCCCGTGGGAAATCTCAGGCTCGAACCGGATGGAGGCATTCGCCCCGCCCGTATTGTCCTTGGCGCAAAAGGTGCCCGCATCGTGCCAGGCAAGACGGACCATGATCGGCATGCAGGGCTTGGCGCTAGGCATGGGGAGAAAGCGGGGGAAAGGAGGGTATTGAGTGAAACAGAGGAGTAGAATGTTCGGGAAGGAGGTTCTTCGCTTCCAGCGCCTGACGCATCGAGCGTGCTGGCACGCCACAACGTTTCCACCCAAGCCGAAAGAACCTTGGTGTATGCTTGTGATACAGTCAAACACGGGAGCATGTCGGGCACGGAAATGGAAAAACTTTGCCACGGCAGCTGAGGGGATGACCTCAGCGGACTCCTCCCCGTCTGCCCCCCGGGAATCGTGTTCTATTGCCTTACCGGTACAGGTCGATGAGAAGGCCTCGGGCCTGGACTTCGGCTTTGGACGGCATGGTGGTGTCGGAGACGGCCTACGCATGTGCCATGGTTGGAAAAGATGGTTAAATGCAGATGGAAAAGAGCGTCAACGGTACTGTGGAAACGATGAGTGCACGGCGCGACAGCGTCAGAGCCCCGAGCCTTGATCCTCCTCGAGCCGCTACCCATAAACCTTATCCCTCAAACCACACATCCAACCAATCCTTCCCTGCCATGGCACAAGAGACTTGGCGTCAGATGAGTGCACGGCTCCGTGCACAAGAGGCATGTGTTTGCTTTGCGATACCCTACATCCCTTTGCAAGACAACAGGATCCAGGGCCGACGCGCATTTCCGCAGGCGACCGCCGAAGAACCTCGATACTCCCCCTTACGCAAGCTCATACGTACCACAACAGCTTTGGCGGCAGCCGCCGCGGAGCCACAAGGGATGCAAGACATGGATGGGAGAGTTGGACGCTGGTGGTTGGGGTTCAATGGGCTTTGGGTGTGAGAGACTGTTGTCCACGTCCCAAGTAGGCATCACATAGAACACGTTCCCCCCGCCCCACGCATTTGAGCAAATCCTTTTATCGCATGAATCATTCCTGGGAATGGACAGTAAAGGCAGTGGAAGCGTGCCTCCATTGCCTTGCGTAGACATAACGCGCCTGCAGGCTCATTGCACGCGGTTGGGTCGATGGCAGGGTCGCATTCGTAGAAGGAACTTTTTGTTTGACATAAATAAGCCCAGCGTGACATAACCCAATATCGCAGTCTGAGGATGGAGGGAGGCACTGGCACATCCCGTCATTTGCTCGCGTCCAGTCGATCGTTGCTTTCACTAGTTGTCACGCACACGAATGCTGTGTTTCACCTCTTGACCCCGAACCCTTGCTGCCTTTTCCTCAAAAACCCGTCCTCATCCTTTTGTCTCCGTCTTCTTTTTTAACCTCCCCCCTCTTCCTTCCTTCTCCCCTACGATACCCCTCCTTTTAGAAAATTATCAAAATCACCCCACATACTTTGGCAAGCAGGGAGGGAGGGAGAGGGATGTGAGGGGCAAGGGAAACCTCGTAAGGCCCCACTCCTTGCCTCCGGACGTACATCTATTCCCTCCCCCGGGCCACCCTCCGCCCCGTCCTCCGCCTCTTCCTTCCCCTCCCTTCCCCTCCCAGAGCTGCCTTGCCCATCGACGCCAGAGTCGGGCGCTTCCTGTATGCCCCCCCTTCCTTCGTCTTCCTCGTCGCCGCCCGCGCCGGTTCCCTCGCCCTCCACCAAGACGAGCGAGGACGCGGGAGAGGAGGAGGAAGAGAGGGAGGTCGAGGCGGAGGAAGCGGAAACGGGCAGCGTCGGACCCTCTCGTCCTCCCTCCTCAAGGAAATGGCTTGAGTCCTCCCCGGGTGCTGCACCCGTTGCTTTTGACGAGCCCATTGTCGACGCCAGGTGGAGAGCCAAAGGTGAGCTTCCATCGACCGTCCTACTTCTCAGCCCGCTTTGGCTTCTAGTCCTCTCTCTTCTCCCTTCCTCCCTCTCGGGGCTCTCCCCTTTTTCCTCGAACGCCAGTCCCTCCACGAGACTCGACACAGCCCCCCTTATCTCCTCTTGGCTTTCCACCTCCTCTTCCTCCCTCCCATCTTTCCATTCTTCCTCTTCCTTTTTGATCTCTGTTTCTCCTTTTTCCTCCCTTAGCACCTCCTCCTTCATGCTCTGTTCCTGCCGACCGCGACGCTCGTTCCATCCACCCTCCATTTCAATAGCCCGGGTGCGGGGCGATCCGCCCAGGTGTCTTCGACCCTTTATTTACAAGCCTAGAGATGTTGTATGCAGATAGAGATAAATGAGGACGAAGTAACTTTGTCAGGGGGATAAAAGAGGGGAAGGAAGACACGACTCTAAGTCCCTCGATCCGGTGGGTACACCGTAGAGGATCAAGAAAAATAAACCATCACGCGGACAATCGAGCGGTTCCTGAGACTCAGGTGAAAAGAACAACCTCTTTTCGATGAAATTCAAGCTAATTCGTCCTCCCCGTTGGCTTGGCGTGGTGACACGGTCTGTTTTTTGGTCACTCCCCCACCCGCCTTGAGGGGCGTCGATCCTGTTCGAGTCCTTTTCATGACTTTGACCAACCCGGGCCAAAAAACGCCAGCGCCCTGCGCACTCGTGAACGAAGCCTATCTGCAGGTTGCACATTTTTGAGGGGTTTCGAGCGCGTTGCTCGTCGACACTGTTCCCTTGCTTCTTTTCGTGATATTTTTTGCCTCCGTTGGGGGCTGTTGCCTCTTTGTCGGTTGCTTGCCGTTCCAAGGAGAAGGGCCCTCCCGGGGAAAAAAAAACTTTCAAACAGAACACAAAGTACCAGCACGTTCCAATGACCCCAAAGACCCAAAATAGCCTTCGTTATTTCAGTCGTGCAAGGAAACTCAGAACGCGTGGTTCGTATTGATGTTTTCAGGGTGTTGGACGCGTACGGTCGACTCGATCTTTCCACGCATTCCTCGTGGAGTGGTTTGTGTCGACTGAACTTTTTTCGGAGTTGCTGCCCCTCTTTGCGGCCCCTTTTTCGAATGCACTACGAAACCCATTTGACGTTTATCTGCTTCCTGACGCCGTAATCATACAGGGATCGCAGAAGCCATCTTTTTGGCACGAGGATGAGTGCCCCAAAGACGACGACTTTCCATGTGGGTATGACCTGCGACGGTAAGACAGGGGGGAAGGCTGCGTTTTTTCCTTTTCCAGGCATTTCGCCACTCGAACACCGCAATTTACCTGGCCCTAACCCCGTAACATTGAACGAACGTCATTTGTTTCCTACTGTCCAGGTTGCGCCAATGCCGTGAAGCGAATTCTTGGAAAGATGGAGGGTATGTTCTCCTCGATGCTTCGAGCTGCATGTGTCGTCTGGTTCCTGCTTTCTGTTCCTCTTTACCGATTGGCGCTTTTTTCTTTCTCCGCCTCGGCCCCTCAATACAAAGTGTTTCGGTTGCAGGACAATGAGTCGAAGGTCTTGAGCTTACTTCCTTCCCGATATGCATACAGCTCGAGTCACTCCTTCTCCTCCCTCTCTCCCTCCCTCCTTCCATCTCTCCCCTCCTCTTCCTCAAAGGAGTGACGGCCATCGACACCAACGTCCCCGAAAAGAAGGTGGTCGTCCAAACGGAGGACCACGTCCAGGCGACGGACCTGCTCACCGCGCTGGCAAAATGGGGGGAAGCCGCCGGGAAGGAGGTGAAAATGCTGGCGTGACGCGAAGAGCCAGGAGAACCGACGGGGGAGAGAAGGGAAGGAAAGCAAAGAGATTTGTACAAGTAGTACGCGAGGACCGGTGAGGACGGCATTGGATCATGGGACTATGCTCAGGAGGCGCGAGGGGAGTCCGTTGGGTGAAGGAGGGAGGGGGGGAAGGAAGAGGGTTTAAAGTGGGTCAATCGACCTCGACGGTACCTAGCACCGTGACCGTTACCGTGACCGTTACAGGGCCCTTCCCGGGTCTGCACGTCACTGGCAACAAGAAGAAGACGGAGAAATATCACTCACACTTCTGAGGGAAACCATCCGA